CGCTTGAGGTGCTTGGCAGGGAGGTGGTTTGCAGGTAAGGCTAGGAAGGTGGACCAGGCCAGGTTGGGAGGGGCCTTGTATTCCAGGCCAAGGTGTGGAATGGTGGTGTCACTCTCACCAACCCCATTTCCCAGAATCGGAGGAACTGGGAGAAATCAGGGCCTGGCACGGTCTAGCTCAGCTCTTCCCCTTTTCAGATGAGAAGGCTGGTGGCCCTTCTTCTGACCTTTCATGCCTCACCTATGCCTCCTGTTCTCCTCCCAGCCAATGACTCTGGGGGTTGAGACCCACTTTGTAAATGCAAAAGGGCCCCCCAGCTGGAAAACTGAGAGAAATTAGCCAGGACCTAACAGAAATCAGGCAACAAAAAGAACAGTCTAGAACGCTGGCTAAGAGTGTGGGCTCTGGAACTGGACTGCCTGAGTTTGAATCCCAGCTTCACTCACTGACTGTTGGCTTTGTGCCCTGAGATAAGTTGCTTAACCTCTCTGATCCTGACTCCTCATCTATAAAATGGGAATAGCAACAGTACTGAATTTCATGGGGTTTTGTGAGTATTAAATGACTTAATACGCGTATAACACTTAGTGCAGTGCTGGGCACATAGTAAGCACTCAGGATATGTTAGCTGTTATTATTGCTAATATTATTATCTCCAGGAGGCAAGAGAGTGTAATGGTTAAGGTAAATGTAGAAATTATTATTTCATTTTATCTTGATCTTAGGATAAGAAAGAAAGGGAACATGCTTTCAGCACTTACTATATAGTAATTGTAATTCAGCAATTACTATATATATTATCTCATCTCATCCTCCCCACAGCTCTTTACTCTCCCTTCTCAGTTGAGGTAAAAAGCTCAGAGAGGTTGAGTGACTTGTCCAGGGTCAAAAAGCTAGTTGAAGACAGTCGTAGAACTACCCCCAGATCTCCTAGGACTTTCTTAGAGGGTTTATTCCTAGGAATGTAGCATCACTGGAATTTGCCCTCTCTCTGCCTAATCAACTCCCCAATTTTAACTCACTCTTTGTCCTTTGGCAAATAACTTCTCCTCTGTGAGCCTCAGTCTTCTCCACTATAAAATTATAGGAGTTTGTAACAGTGAGGGTAAACATTGCTAACTGCTGTAACAAACAACCCCCCATCTCAGTAGCTTCACACCAAGGTTTGTTTGTTGCTCACGGCACAGTGCACTGTGGGTCAGTGGAGGTGGGCACTCCACGCTGTCATGCAGGGATCTGGGCTCCTGCCACCTGTTGACTCAGGCTCCCCGAAGGCCTGAGCTCCCCCCTGGCTCCTGAGCAACTGGCTGTGAGGAAAGGGAGGATGAAGAAGGTACACTGCCCTCAAACCCCTTGGCCCACAGGTCACAGACCTCACCTCCATTCACATTCCATTGGCCAGAACTAGTCATGGGGCCCCAGCTAGATGCAAGGGGGCTTGGAAATACAGTCCAGCCATGTGCCAGAAGAGAAGATAGCCCAGACCCTGGTGCCACAGGGTTGGGCCAGATTCTGTGACACTGTGCACCCCCTGCAGCCACACTGGAGAAATGCAGAAGTCAGGACTCCTGGGTCCTTCCCCAGTCTGCAGCCTGGGCCCTCCCTCCCTGAGTGCTGTTCCTCCTCACTCCCACCCGGGAAGAGAACCAGTCCCTGCCAACCCTTCTCCGAGGGTGGGTGGGTGGTGAGATAATGATCTTATCATGCTTATTGCCTCTTGGAAGGCAGGTGCTGGAGAAAAACCAAGTCCGCTTTGGTTTTTCTCCCTGTTTCCATCACATTCCTTCTCAAGATAAATTTAGTCAGCCCTGCTTTCAACGGCAGTGCCCAGAATGCCGACTTTTTGTTCTCCCAGTCAATATCAGAGCATTTGTCATGCCTGCAGCCTTGGGGGGGGAATGCAGACCTCAGGACCACAGTCCCAGCCTCTGCCCTGCCCCAAATGTCTCTGCCCCATCCTCCCATGCCTGCTCAGTCCCCACGGGCATCAGTTGCCAGGTCTCTCAGACAAAGGCCCTGGATTCTCCAGTGATGTGAGAAGGGCTGTAGGTCTGCCTGTGTCCTTAAGGGCCACTTAGAGCTCAGAGGCAGGACAGTTCAGAGTTAAGAGCACAGACTTTGGAATTGTCAGAGTGGATCAGAATCCCAGCTCAGGCAAGTTAACTTCTCATCTGTCTCCCCATCTGTAAAATGGGTCAGCAGTGCCTTCTTCATGAGATTACCTGAGGTGCGTATGTTAAGAGCTTTGCCTATTTTTCTGGTACTCTGTAAATGGTGGATGTGGAGATGGTGATGGTTCGTACTTAGCCTCAAGCCAACCTGAAAGCCGGAGTGAGGACTTTAGGAGCCTTCTGCCCATTCCAGAGACTTCTTTTCCAAACTGCTTTAAAATCTCCTGAGAGGCCTCCTTGGAGAGTTATGTTCTTGGACCTCCTCATCTTTCTAGAAATGATTTCCTTTCTGGTGTCCATCCTATTATCCTCCTGCTGGTGCAATTTGAGTTCCTTCCATTTTGCCTTTGTCTGTGAAGCTCTCTGCTGCCACTACCCAGGCCATAGCTCACCATGTTTTTAAAGATAAATGTGCCGCCTGTACTCCCGTACTAACTGCATGCCTTCCTGGCCCAGTTAAACCTCTCTAGGCCTGAGCTTCCTGCTCTGTGAAATGGGGATGTTAAGGGAAGGTGTCCCGGGGGGAAACAGTCAGTGGTCTCAAAATGGGTGATTGAATGAAGGGACTATTCACAAAGGTGAATGCAGGGTGAAGGGAACCGAGAAGCCTGGGGAAGGACCAGGGCTGGCCACATGGGAAAGCTGTTCCCACCCAGGCTGGCAGGGCTAAGGCGAGGGAGCAGTGCTCAGAACCTGGAGAGAGGCAGGGCTGTAAGACAGCCACCCTCCAGGCTCTGGACCTTAGAGGACCAGCAGAGAGGAGCTGGAGGATTAAACACCCTGACTCTTCTTCCCTCCCCTCCTCTGAATGCCTGTGGGCGCCTGCCCCTGGCTGAACCCAGCCGGAGCCAGAGGGCAGGGAGCTTGGTGGAAGCAGACTCTGGGGACCAGGCTCGCAAGCCCCGCAGAGAAGGGCAGAGATTGGGTGTGGAGGGGCAGACTGAATGCGTAGCACAGGGATCGAGATAGTGCTGCCTCGAAGGGTGAGTGTTAGTGTCTACCCCTCTCACTAACAGACCTGCCAGGGGACGTGAGCATCCCCATCTATAGACAAGCAAGTGAAACTCTGAGGGTTAACTCACATGGAAGGCCATACTGCCAGGAAGTGGTGGAGCCAGACTCCAAAGTGGGGGATTTAGACTCCGAAGTTCCCCACGGCCAGAGCAAACAGTGGTCGAGATTTTATGATTTAAGATGCCACTTCCCCACAAATGATCTTCCTCCCAGGCCTGTAATCCCTCCATTATTTATTCGCTTGGGCTGAGCATTTCATTCTCCCTGCTGTACAATTTCTTTTCTTTTTTTTTTAATTGAGGTAATATTGGTTTATAACATTACATAGATTTCAGGTGTATATCAGTATAATTAGACTTCTGTATACATTACATCGTGTGTTCACCAAAAGTCTAGTTTCCATCCATCACCACCTGCTGGACAGTTTCAAACGCAAATATCCCTGGGGAATGGGGGGCATCACATCAATCATTGAACACTTTCAGGGAACGAGTTTCTCAGACCCTCTTTCTGCTGGGAGAGGCCTGGGACAGGCCTCAGGAATCTGTGGGGACTGGAAACACTGAAAGGGAGGCAGCCAGCCATGAATAAGATAATGTCGACCCCACCCAGTTACGGAGCTTCTGAGCCCTTTCACTCCCATCATCTCACTTAATCCTCACCATTTTCCTGGGATACTGGCACCAGTATTTACAGGATTTATGGCTGTGGGACAGTAGCCCAAAGAGATTACACCTGGCTAATGTTAGAGTTTTGCCTGTGATGGGCACAGCCAAGTAGGGGAAAATGCTTTAGAAGCCAAAAGACAAATGCAATTCTAATGCTTCCTACCTGTGAAACTATAGGCAAGTCTCTTCACCACCACTGGCATCTTCAACATGGGGGTGTGAAGACCCACCCCGCTGTGTTTGGTGAGAATTAAATGTGATCATTCCTATCAGCCCGCAGCACAGTTCCTGGCACCTGGCATACCAGGCAGAGAAGGTACAGACGACAAAATCTTAAACGTGGGCAAACCCAGCCTTGAGTCTTGGCCAGTTGGGTAACCCTGGACAAGTCACGTAACCCCCGGAGCCTCATTTGAAAACTAGAGCAGTCACATCCCCGTCCCACAGGTTTGTGCGAGGGTGAAATGAGATGAGGTGTCTGAAAGCACTTTTTTAAACTGCTCTATAAATGCAAACGGATCTCTTCAGCAATAACAACAGCCAACATCAGCAAACATTTCCTGGGTGCTTACGGTGTTCCAGGCACTGTTCTAAGCCCCCATGCGTGTGGTTTCATTCATTTCTCACAGCAACCCTATGAAGCAGGTGTATTCCCAATCACAAAAGAGGAAATTGAGTCTCAAAGAGGTTAAGTAACTGGCCCAAGGTTGCACAGCTGGTAAGTGGTGGAGCCAGGCTTTGAATCCAAGTAGGCTGAGAAGCCTGTGGAGAGGGAGCACTTGCATGGAGCCAGGCCCTGGGATACCCAAACAAAGAGAACTGAAAAAGCTTGGAGTCCAGCTTGGCTCAAACTTTCATACATATCAGAATCATTTAGGGACATTATTTAAAAGGCAGAGCCCTGGGCCCCACCCACAGAGATGCTGGTTCCATGGGTTTGAGGTGGGGCCTGGGAATCTGCATTTTTAATGAGCCCCCAAGATGATGCTTGTGCAGGGGTCAGCTAACTACACACGGAGGACTGTGGCAGGTGTCCCCTAAGCCATCAGTAAGAGTTGCTCGATAAGTGAGGGTCATAGGCTCTAGAGGACCCTGACGGCTCAGGCGGGAGCCCACGGGGTTACCCACCTTCGCCTCTGGCTTCCAGGTTTGCCAAGTACTACAAGACGGAGGATGGCAGTGAGTACCGCACGCTCCTGAAGGCTTTTGGCATCCGCTTCGATGTGCTGGTGTACGGGAATGTGAGTCCTTAGGCCAGGAAGATGGGGTGGACCGGGACCGGGGGAAACCCAGACCCATGTTGGGCCCTGAGGAGGTTCCTCTGGGGGGCAGGGTCCTGCTGCTGACCAGCTCTGAGACCGTGGGCTGGGCACATCTCCTCACCTGTACCGTGAAGGGGCGGGGCCTGCTGACCCACCAAGAACCTTTCTGGCTCCTCCTCCTCTCTGGCTGGGGGTCCAAGTTCAGCCTCAGGCCTCACCTCTGCGCTGCTGGACCCTCTGCCCACTCCCCTTGGTCTTTGTGCCTGCAGGCTGGCAAGTTCAACATCATTCCCACCATCATCAGCTCCGTGGCAGCCTTCACCTCTGTAGGAGTGGTGAGTTAGCCCCTCCAGGCTCTGACAGGAGGCCCGTCAGGGTGGGGCCCCGGCTGGCAGGGGTGGGCAGGGGAGGGACTCAGGTAAGTCCTGCTTCTGCCTAGAATGCAAAGCCCAACCTCTTGCCAGATGCTTCCTCTCTTCCACAACCTCCCTGCTGGGTTCGCACTTGCGTGAACACCTCCAGTCATGGGGAGCTCATCACCTCCCACGGCAGCCTCCCCATTGCAGGAGGCACCACTGCGTACAAAGTTCCTGTTCCTCACCAGGGAGGTGGGGGAGGAGACTCTGGGGTTCTATAGATGGGAGGAGCCTTGATGAGGAGCAGAGCCCAGCTAGCAAGGCGGGGACATAGCCCCACTCCCAGGGACTTCAGCCCCCTCAGTCCCTCTGCTTCCATACCAAGTCCTCTCTCTGCATTTTGCTCTGGGGTCACCCCCAGGAGCTGGGGAGGCGGGTCATGAAGACATCCCACAAAGCCCCTGGACCTGCAGGCCGGCAAATTCAACATCATCCCCACCATCATCAGTCAGGCATCTCTGAGGACCCCCCTGCCCTTCCTGCCACCCTGTTCCCACCCGTCCTGGGGCAGCCCGTCTGAGCCCACCTGCTTCTCCTCCTCCAGGGGACTGTCCTCTGCGACATCATCCTGCTCAACTTCCTCAAGGGGGCCGACCAGTACAAAGCCAAGAAGTTTGAGGAGGTGAGGAGGTAGAGGGACGGGGCAGGGAGGGACGCTAGATCCCAGGGACTCCCAGTGGCTCACTTTTGGAGGCTTCTTTAGGGGAGTTCATTGGGCCTCAATACATATTGGGGGGGGTCAAGAAAAGAGGGGGTTTGGAGATTTCTCTGTGGAGAATCTTGGGGGCTCTGTGGGTCATCACTTTCAACATCCCCATCCCTCATCATCTCCTCTCCATTTCTGAAGGGGGACAAATCTTGCGATGGGTTAGCTCAGGTTTCTGTTTGTCTTTGAGGTGCATGGAAAGGATCAAAGGTCTTGGGATCACACAGACTTGCGGTAGCCCCCCTAGTGAATAGGCCACGAGCCCCAACTGCTGAGTCTGTCAAATGGGGCCCCCTAGGAGGACCTCACCCACAGTCAGAGCATGAAAAAGCCAGCACTTCTGCCTGCAGGTGAATGAGACAATGCTGAAGGTCGCTGCCTCGGCCAACCCAGTGTTCCCCAGTGACCAGACCACGGAGGAGAAGCAGTCCACAGATTCGGGGGCCTACTCCATCGGCCACTAGGGCCTCTTCCCAGGGCCTCATGCTCACCCTTGGGCTCCAGGCTTCCCAGTAGGACACCCTACCTGGGCAAGGGGGGATGGGAGAGGAGAGGGGCTCTCATTTCTGCTGCTCATCCCGTGAGGCCACAGCCAGGACCCAGCTGTCTGGGCCTCCCAGTGCCCTGACAGACCGGTGGTCCTCCTGCCAAGACCTCAATCTCACCTTCACCCCTGTCTGCTTCCCAAGATCCCCAGGGCAGTAGCACCTGAGTCATCCCCCTTCCAAAGAGTAGAGATAATAATAGTAATAATGAGTGGCCACAGGGCCTACCACGTGCCAGACACTCTCACATACATTATCTTATTTAATCCTTAGAATAATCCTATGTGGTGGATATTAGTTCCCCTGTTATGAAGATACACTGAGGCTCAGAGAGACAGAGTCATTTGCCCAAGGCCACACAGCCAGGAAGCGAGAGAGCTGGGATTTAAACTCAGGTCTAACTCCATCGCCCACACGCCACAAGAGAAGAATGAACTCCAGGGGGTATCTGCCCTGCTGCTTCAGCCTCCTCCACTCTGACCATGATTAGGTTCAACTGAATAAAGAGTAAGCCCCGGGCTTTCCCAGGAACTCAGGCGGACCCCATTTTAGAGGAGACCAGTTAGACGGTGGTGCAAAGTCTCGTTGCCTGACTTGGATGGGTCCCAAATTCACAAGGAAACAGGAGGCATGACTCAGTGAATTTGTCTTACTTCACCCACAGCTCTGTCCCCAAACCAGGGCAGGGGCCATTCTTGTTCTCCCTCTGGGGCCCTCACACACTCTCACAGCCATCTGGGGCCCTCACTCTGGAAGCCAGAGTAGGCTACCCCCAGGGTGGCGTGATTCTCGGACCTGGGCCCTGTTCTGGGAGCTCGGCAGTCCTCCTTTAAAACATTGGTGAAAAGGCTCAGTGAGACCTCTTGCCCTGTGAGCAGCTGGTCAGCAGGCCTGTCCGCACAGTGTCCTAACAACGTGGTCAGTCTTCTAATGTTGGAAACTAAAAGGCCTTAGAAACCATCTGGTCCTACTCTCCTGTTTACAGATGAGCAGACGGAGACCAGAGAGGGAAATGACTTGTGTCACGCAGTGAGTGACCAAAAGGGAACCAGGTGTCCTGCCACCCAGGGAAGGAGGCAAGTACAGGAAGCTGGGAAGGCTGTTGAGAAAGCTTCAGGTCCACGCCTGCCTCCATTCGCCCACATCCCTTTCTCCTTCTGGGCTCTCCTCCAGTGAGAGGCCCAGAAATCTCACCAGGGCTGAGCTCAGGAGCAGATCCAGATTTTGTGAAGCCTGAAGCATATAAAATTTGAGGCATCTTTTTAAAAATAATACAAAATTAGGTATTAGAAGGGGCTCATGCAACTGAGCAGCCCCGAAGTATGTTTCATTAGCTTCATGGTAAATCTGCCTCCAGAAAAGAAGTGTGGGCATGACCATGAGGTCTTGGCAGACATGAGGGCTGGCCCCTCTACAGAAGGTGTGGGGAAAGGGGTGGGGGCAGCTTTGGGAGTAGTTTGGGAGGATCAAGCAGTGGGCACTTGCAAAGGCCTGACCCCAATGATCCCCCACAGCAGGGGGAGAAGGGGTAAGATTCCCCCAAACAAGGCCCACCACCTCCCGACTCTGCCTTCACCCCAAGCTGCATCCTCAGGATGGTGGGATAACACCTCCCCAGGGGCAATCTCGGGCATCAGGCAGTGTCTGGAGATCTGAATGGCAGAAACATCAATGAAGACAGCACTGTATTCTCCAACCAGGACACCAACAGGCTTTCCCGGTGAATCCAGCTCTCAGGAGGCTGGGCTGAGGCTGGGGTCACAGGGATGTTCTCTTAGGAGGAGATGGAGGCAGCTGTGTCCTGGAGGGATTTCCCCCCCCAGTCCCCCCTTTCCTCCTACAGGTGCTTCAGCACCCCCTGGCCTGAACCCGTGTGTGTGAGCCTGACGCTGTCCTCCCACAGCTGAACTAAGTTACCACTTCTGTGTGCTAGACTTAGGGTTGACATCAGTACTAATAAAATAGCTAACTTGTCTCTGCTGCATCATGGTGTCCTCAGCACAGTCACCAACATAATCTCATGGACCCTCACACCAACCCTGGTGAACTTGCTGTGGTTTGTTATTAATCCTGTTTAATAGAGGAAGAAATTTGCAATACATGGAAATTCAAACTAGAACCCATGCTCATTCCAACACTACACTGCTTCTTTACTTACTCAGCATAAAAGCTAATGTTTAGTGATAATTTGACATTGCCAAGCAGTGGGCTAAATGCGTTACAGGCATTGTCTAATTCCACCCTCATGTTACCGAAGAAGAAACCGAGGCTTGGTAAGGTTAAAAACTGAAATGGTAGAACTGGGACTCGAACCAGGGCTTTGTGAGTCCAGAGTCTGGGATCTTGACCTCTGTGCTACGTCTGTCTGGGAAGAATTAGGACATTTGTTGGCACCTTCTTTTCTATGTGTTAGGTTAAACCAGGTTTTGCTGCAGTAACAAGCAAGCTGCAGAATCTCAAGGTTTAATACAACAAAGCAGGTCAGACAGCCCCCTCCATCTGGTAACTATGCCATCCGAGACACACAGACCCCCAGATCCCTGTGGCAAGGAAAGTGAGAACAGGAGGATCACAGGGGTCATTTAAAAGCCAGCCCCAGAAGTAGCTTACATCACTTCTGCCCACATTGCGTTGATCAGACTCAGTAGCATGCTGCAGAGCCCAACTTGACCGCAAGGCATACTAGGAAATAGAGTCTTCCTGGGTCCGCAGGAAGAGAAAATGGTGAACACAGCACTCTCTGCTTCATTGTCTCTCTTTCTGCACAAGCCCCCTCTCCCCATGCCCACTGACAGGTACACACATCCTTGCCTTCTGTGTTCCTTCTCACAAAACCTTGTTCTTGGCAAGTTACCAATGAGTCTCCCAGAGGTATTGATAGATAATGCTCTCAAGTGTTTCTTCTCCTCAGAGTATTTGCTTTTTAATCAAAGCCTACTCACGACTGAAAGGCCTTAAACAACCAATGGAATGAATATATAATGGTTGAAGTTGAGGCCCAATAACAGACAGTGTCGGATATTTGAGGGACATCTTATCTACCCTCGCCTGCCTCAAGCAATCTTCAATCTGGAGGGGTCTAAGTCCTCCTCCTTTCCCTGCCCCGCCCTCTACCTCTGGTCTTGGCTGGCAGGATATCGGGCGACTGGGATCGGCTAGAACCCATTCCCCGTCAAGGAGATAAGTGGAGGCTGATAAAAGGGGGCTTGCCGTTCAGCCGAAATACCAGTCCCAGAGCTGCCTATACAGAGCTTCCCTTACTGCTTATCCCTCCCACCCTGCACAGCCAGATTCCACAGTTCTTTTAGAAGCAGAGCATCAAGAATTAGCTTGTTGCAGTTTGCAGACTTGGAAGCAACCTAAGTGCCCATCAAGGGACGAATGGATAAAGAAGATGTGGTATATAGACACAGTGGAATACTACTCAGCCATAAGAAACGATGAAATCCAGCCATTTGTGACAACATGGATGGACATTGAGGGTATTATGCAAAGTGAAATAAGTCAGAGGGAGAAGGTCAAATACCGTATGATTTCCTTCATTAAGTAGTAGATAACAACAACAATAAATAAACACATAGAGACAGAGATTGGATTGGTGGTTACCAGAGGGGAAGGGGGGAGGGAAGAGGGCAAAAGGGATAATTCGGCACAGGTGTGTGGTGATGGGTTGTAATTAGTATTTGGGTGGTGAACATGATGTAATCTATGCAGAAATAGAAGTATAATGATGTACACCTGAAATTTAGACAATGTTATAAACCAATGTTACTGCAATAAACAAAAAATTAAAAAAAAAAAAAGAATTAGCTTGTTGCAGTATGCAATGCAGGGACCTGGGTGGGGGCTTGACCCCCAGGCAGTTCTCCTTCCGTGCCCTTGGGGAGACTGACTTGCTGCAATTAGGAGCTTCCTGACCCCCTCTCCATCCAAGGCAGATGGACAGACCCCTGTACTGAGGACAGGCCTCTTCTCCCCAGAGGCAGTCCCTGGGGCCCAGCATTGGTGAGGTTCATGGCAATGCCAAGGCCCACTGTCCTATTGCCAGAGGCCTGCTCATATTCAAAGGACTCATCCCTACCGCTTCTTCACCACCCACTTCCTCTGGGGTTCTCCTATCCTGTCCCGTTCCATCACCTCCAACACCTTTAGAAAGAAAGTACATCTGGGAAACTGTTCCTTTTGTTCCTGAAACTCCACATCCCATCAAATGCCTACAGGAACACACGCACGCACACAAAAGTAGACCCTTACACAGGTGTGCTCAGACACACACTGACATGTATACACACTCCCAAACATACTGGCCAAAGACACACAGGTACACACATGTGTGCACACACAGATTCAGGCATATAATGGTGCAAAGCTTCACAGATGTCCACAGACATACAGGCCTATCCATAAATACACACAGATGTACAAAATGTACACAAACAATACACAAATACACACAGATTTATGCACATTTACATATATAGATTCACGTACACACAGGTATACAAAGATTGACTCGCATACACACCAAGATACATAAACACGCATGTACACGTGCACCCACAGAAATACTTGTACATGCTCCTTGTGCCCCATGTGGAATGACACCCCCAAGAAGACATCCATCTCTGAGTGCCCCCCTCTCTCTCTCCCCTCAACCCAAAGCTGTCCACCCTCTTAATACCCAGTCTCAGGTCTGAACTTCCTGCTTCATCAACCCCATATCCTTCCTGGAGCCCAGCATCCTGCATGGAACAAGGTTAAGAGCAGCAACAGTGTTCTCTCTCAGTGTCCCCAGGGTCTGAGAACATGGGGTGAGGGAGGGAAGCTGAGGCCCGGGGCTACAAAGCCAGGATGGAAACCACACTGCTGCCAGATGCCCTGACCAGCCTCAAGGCCCTCCTGGTGGGAGGCAGCTCCCTCCTGACAATGTGGCCCCTCTAGGGAGGTAGGCAGGGGATGAGGAAGGAGAAGGGTAGGGGAGGCAGGAGGGCAGCCACCCTCCTGGAAATGGAATGGGGAACACATCTCAGAGGAAG